TGTACAAATATGCTTGACACAATGGATGGATGGATGGATTGTGATATGAGCTGTAAGAGTCCCCAATAAACTGATTTAATAATAATAATTTTTTAAAGGTGCTTCAAAGAACACCGTGGGGGAGGGGCAGTGGGGGGAGGTCACACAGAATAGAAAAAAAAATTTGCTATCACACATATCATATGGAACTATTATTGAGACTAAATAAATATCTCTTACAACTTACTAGCAAAAGCACAAATAAACATTTGAAAATGGATAAAGGACTTGAATGGGCAAGTCCCCAGAGAAACCACAAGTGGCCAAAGAGCACATGAAAAGGTGTGCACCAGCACTAATCACGAGCAAGCCCGCTGTGCTTCCCACAGGAAGCCTTCCTCCCCGAAGAGAGGGCCGAGGCCCCACCAGGAGTCCGTATCTTTCTTTACTCCTGGCTCAAACTGATGCTGCGTCTCCCAGGGACCCACCCCAGGCCTTTGTGGCTGGGGCAGTTCTATTTTTAAATTTGGTTTCTACTTTTCAAAGGCCGTAATGAGTAATTTGCAATGAACTTTAAATTTGAGGGGGTGAAATGCTAGCAAAACTTGAATCTGCTATGCTTATGTATTGTTAATCTGATCAGTTTAATGAAAACATAATAATTAAACAAAAATTTAACTCGTGTTCATATTAGACCTTCACTGCACTGCCAGCCACCCCAACTTTAGTTATTTACAAAGCCACAGTTATTAAATATGTCATGTTCTACAGGAAATAGAAAGATGAATCAGAGCATCCAAGACCTTTATAATGTGCTGTAGGCATATTTTGGATTATTTTATAATCTATGCAACTAGGGGACAGGGGGGCTCAGCATAAAATATTGCATGGAGAAAAAAGAGGGAGAATAAGCTCTAATTTCGCAAGCCCCGTAACATATGTACATTTAGTCACATACACACTCACTAACACACCCCACAAAGAAAACAGTGGGAGCACCGCCCAGCATCTGCACATGCCTAGATGGACGCTGCCCTCCGCGGTGCAGCAGGCAGCTTGTTGTCAAGGAAAGAAACGCTGGAGCGTTTCCAAAGTGGTAACATAGTGAAGACAGCCTTGTCAACGTGATGGCTCCAAGCTGACAAAAACCAGCCTTCCTGAAGCTAACAAACGTGGATGACCTGCTTAGTGGTTTAGCCCAAGAACCCTTCTTTGAACGTCGTGATAAATGGGTAGTGACCAAAGAGCAGCAAAATGACAAGGGCAACAAGGAGTGTCAGTGAGACCTGGAGGATCCCATCCCCTACTCTGGAGATCTCCCTGAACTGAGTAAAGGAATTTTAAAAAGACTCACAGGTAGGCAAGAATTAGAGATGAGATTAGACATGGTTGCACACTTTTCAAAGATGGAAAACAGATGACAAGAGCACTCTTAGATTCCTCTTTCTCCACTCTTAAGTGTTTTTCCATTTTGCCAGCAGGAAGGAGAGCCAACAAAAACCAAGCCAATTCAGACCAGAGGACCCTTAGAAAGCTTTAGAATTGAAGGCATTAGCTATCTAGGATGGTAGGGGTGTATGGGAAGAAGCTAAAAGCAGGATCGCCTCAAAGTCTGCAGAAGAAGTTAACAAAGACCCCTGGCTCCCAGATCCCTGAACAGTGTACTTAGATTTACAGACAAGGTCTGGAGAAAATGGATGAGCAAGTCTCAGTTTTCGTGTTAATCATACACAGCTAAGGGAAGCACTTACCAAAAATAACAGGATTAAATAAAAGCCTGCATGCTTAAGAAGGAGATCCTGCCTAGGACCTTTCACTGATCTCCCAGTCCTATGAGGCAGAAGATACCTCAAAAGAAAAGACTTTTAAGCAAACATCTGAAGATAGGCAATTTAAACCCCAATTTAAATATCCCATCATAAATTACCAGTTGCTAAACGCCCCTTATACAACACAAGGGCACATACTCATTTAACTATAAATACAAAGTCAAGGATCAACAAAGAATCATGAAGAACTCAGAAATGGAGGGGCCATGTAAGGCGTAAGGAAATAATACTGCAAGTCCTCTAACATTCTCAATGATAAATAGACTGGATCTATGAAACAAAACCAGAAAACTATTATAACTAAATACTCAGAAAAATAGAACCTTTTGGAAATTCAAAATATAATAGAAATAAAAACTTCAGCACAGACTGGAACATTAAATTGAGCAAGTCTCTTCTGAGAATGTAACCAAAAAATGAAGAGGGTATACAGAAAAAACAAAGAGAGAAAACTAGAGGATCAATCCAGAGGATCCAACTCCTTATGAACACTCTAGAGACAAAGGAAAAATTAGAAGATAATTTTTTTAACAAATAATTCAATACAGTTTTTCAGAAATACAGCCTCTCTGGTAGATAAGGACCATTAGATATGCCACACAATAAAGAACAAATATCCATGCCACGCATATTACTCTGAAACTTCTGGACACTTGCACCAGAATATGATCTAAAAAGCTCACACAGCTCCCTGGGCTTGGGGACACTAAGGTCACGTCAAAGGCACTCTTCTACAGCCTACTTTGGGGCGTAGCAACGAGGGTCTTAAAATCTTGTGAATCGTGAACGTCGTTCCTTCCGCATTCAGAACAAGGAAGAGTGAAGCAAAGCAAAGCCCTGTCGGGAGAAGCAGTTGTTCAGAGGACATGAACTTCTGTCTCCAAAACTCAGATCAGAAGGACTCGCTGTGGGCTACCACGACATCAGCTCTGAGGAGGGTATTCGCAGGTCGTGGACGGATGGAGAGAAAAATGTAGAACATAACTCAAAGCCCATTGGTATTGTACTTAAAAAAAATCCTGTCACATGGCACTAAAATCAAATCCCCCCATTTCAGCTTTGCTTAGCATGTCATCATACTAAGAAAACAGTAATAGCTTCCTAAGACCTTCCTCTTGACGAAGTAAGGCACCTAGAGAAAAGAGACTAGGATCCTCTCAGGAACAACAGTAAGAGTAGCAATCTCACGAGCACAGGGGGAAGGTAGGTGGGGAAAGGGGGCACTGATTGCAATGATCAATGTATTATCCCCCCAGCCCCCAGAAGGGGATGGACAACAAAAACAGGGGTGAAAGGAGACAGTGGATGGTGTAAGATATGAACATAATAACTGATTATTTATCAAGGATTCATGAAGGTGGAAGGGGGGGGCAGGGGGAAATGAGGAGCTGATACTAAGGGTTCAAGTAGAAAGAAAATGTTT